GTTCAAAGAAGAATGAGAAATTTAATGGTTTCAATCTGCCCTTGTTTTTTCTTTTTGTTTTTCTTTTTATTTTTATTTTTGCATGTTATCACTGTGCCCGTTTTTTGCTTTTATTCTTTGTTCCGCAAAGTGCGCTCTTTTAGTTCGTAGTTATGTGACAATATATAGGCACGGTGGAGGAGGAGTTAAGAAGACTGAGCGACTGAATGATTTCAAGGTGTCTTTGCCTTTGATTTTGATCCTTTGTTCAGTGTAATTTTTTTTTGTAAAACACTGAAAGAAATAAGAATACACGTTCAATACAGTGAAACAAAGAAGAAGAGGACACTGTTTTGTGTCATTCTGGTTTGTTTGTCTCTTGCCTGTCTGTCCTTTCATTTTTCTTTTCTTCACTCATCTTGTTTCTTCTTCTACTTCACGTGCTTACGCTCTTAGTCAATAGTTCTGTGACAATATAAACTCACAGAGAACTTTCCCAGTGACCTGAAGCAGAAAGGGAGGAAAGGATAAGATCATAAGACTGATTTGTCTGAGCTTCACCGGCTCATATGTTTCAAAATCTGATGCGTGTTATCATCTCCAGCCAGCTATCACCAGTGGGCATTAACAGTCAGAATCTGATTCCCCTTCCTCCAAACGTCTAGACGAGCGATTTCATTAGAAATTCAACTTTGCCTCAGCTGGAAAGGTCCTCCTTCCTCCATAGGTCTAGATGAGCGATTTCATTAAAACTCAGCTATGCCTCAGCTCGAAATTAAAACATGTTTCCCTGCCGCAGCGGCGAGAAACATCCTATATAAACTTCTCAATTTCTCACTGCTACGCCGAAGGACGATCCTCCTCCTTCCTCGGGGGGCGAGGTCTCAGTTGCATGGGCTAAGAAGATCTTGGCCGTCCATTGGTGATTATCTACGGACAGTAGTATCTCTTAATCCATGCAGGTGGGACCTGGCCCCACAGGAAGGATCCTACTGCTGTCAGGATCCTGAACTCGTCATCTGATCTGTTCGCTAACAGTTTCGTGTTGTGTTATTGTGTAACATTGGGCCACACGGGCTGGGTAGTGGCGTTTTATTATTATTATTATTATTATTATTATTATTATTATTATTATTATTATTATTATTATTATTAGGTAGTGCTGGTGTTTAGTTATTTATTTTAATTATTTTTTATTCTTTTTTAATGGTAGTGGTGCAATTGGCTATGGCGGTTGTGCGCCCAAACAACTCACTGTTCACACTCTGGATCACCCTGGATGTCCCACGCACATCACTCTGAACACTCATACAGTACACACACACTGCACTCTACACTAGGCTATGGCAGCTATGGCTGCCGCTACCTATCGCTATGGCTACACTGCTTCACTCTCGCCCACTTCGTCTTCGGGCCTCCTGCAGACCTCCTTGCACAAGACGCTGAGGCAGCGCTTCMGCATGGCTTCCGCATGAATGAATGAATGGCTGGGCGCAGCCTCTTGATTTATACTTCTGTGAGGCGTTGGTCTGCCCTGTAACCCCTGGCCCATGGTGCACACAGTCCCAGACGGTACTTGCTTGACTGGACCGGACTGGGTGGACTGGGACTGCTGACTGTACGAGGTGGACTGCCACCACTTGACCACTTGCCTCTGTCTAACGTAGGCTAACTCCGAAAGGCCACTTCTAGAAACCTCTGTCTTGGCCTTTYGGTACTGTAGCAGCTACGACTTTGCCCTTTCAGGTAAGTAGCAGCTACGACCTTGACCCTTCAGACAGTCTACAGTTACGACCTCTGGACTGTCTAGACTCCTACTCGACAGGTCTACAGTTCGAATCCCTTCTACCCTGTGACCTACGAAATCCTACCTACCACTGGCGGTCCTACAGGTCGCAGGTTCAATTCTACGGGTTGACGCAGATACTGTACACAGGTAAGTTGGGGATCTAGGGATCGAGCCCTGGGATCTGCATCAGCTACTGCAAATCGGTGAATACTGTTTCACTCCCGCCGGCCTAAATTCGAGGTCCTCCGATAAAACTTCAGTCCAAGGCAGGAACTTTACCTTTCCTATCTCCTTCGTAGACGCAGACTATGTCGGGAGCCGACTCTAGAAGTTCAGTTCTAGTGAACCACCGGTCATCTTCTGGTTCTTGATATGAAAATCTGACTTTGTACTGTTTCTGAGGACGACCTCTACCTCCTGTTCTGAACACATCTTCACCTACGATGCCGTCAATGTCGTATCTCCCGTCCATGTCAGGTGGGATCATAGATCGCCTAGATGGAAACTGATCACTTACTGTGCACGGCAACAACTTTGACGCATGGAAAACTGGGTAGGTGTGGAGGTG